TTCGATGAAAGGCGAAATATCGAATAAAATAATTTAATAAAATAACTCAAAAACTGGAAAATCCTTGGCCTTGAGCTTGATTTTAAAAAGTGGAAAAAAAAACAAGTTTTTATTTAACCTGTAAAATCAAAGGAATAAAATGAAGTAGTGTAGCAAAAGATTTTTTAGCAAGAAAATTTGGTCAAAACTGCACTAAAATGAATAAAATAAAATAAGTTAAGGTCTCGTTAAAGTTACTAAAAGCCATTTAGAGAAAGGAGTTATTCAAACTCTAATGAAAATTACTAACAACTTGTACTAATTTACTTCGTTTTTAAAAAAGGTTGTCGCGAGTGTAATTGTTGCATTATACATAGATATGTCAACAGATGTCATAATCTTCCACTTTAATATTTTAGCGCTATTCAATAAGTTGGCACCCTCACCAACATTGCTCGGTGCGTAGAAACTATGCGCAGCGTCATTAGTATTTGCGAATTCGGTGCAGTTACAACGCGAGTGTTGTACAAATAATAAAAAAAAGCTTGTAAAAAGGTAAAAATGATTAGCAAACGTTATCTTAAACGTTTAGTAAAAAACAAAAGTGAAATTAATAAAAAAAATTGCTGAAAATTGTAGGAAAAATATGTGCTGTGTACTAATGGAAGATGAAAATAGTGAAAATGCGAGAAGAATAGCAGCATCTGATAGTGGGAGTGTAAATAGTGAAAATATAATTGTAGAATTGGAGCCGAAGGCGCTTGAATCCAAGCTAAAAGATTGGTTCTAAGAATTTACACCTTCGTTTCGTTGTTGCGCGAGCTGATTAAATATTTTAAAAAGCGGAAACCTAAATGTGCCTCTAAGTGTTAGGTCATTGTTAGATCAACCCGAAAAATGTGTAGTGCGCACCGTTTCCCCAGGCCAATATGTCCATATTGGGGTAAAACACAATTGGAAAAATTAGCATATAAAAATCTGCAGGAAAATCCAACTGATATTCAAGTGGATAGAGGAATTGACGGTTTACCCTTGTTTAAGAGCTCGCAGGTTACTTTGTGGCCAATTTTGGGTCGAGTAGCCAACATCAGGTGTAAAACAGTGCTTTTAATTGGATGCTACGTAGGTAAAAAGAAGCCTTATAATATTGAAGTTTACCTTCATTATTTTGTAGAGAAATCAAGGGACTATCGGTTGATGGTATTTTACTCAATGATGTAAGCTATAATGTTGTAATTCGAGCCTTTATATGCGACACACCTGCCCGATGATATATATGTGGTTGTTAAAGGTCACAATGCACATAATGGGTGTAGTAAATTCATACATTCCCAACGATTTTGCACGAAAACCTAGGGAATTCGAAGAACTAGCTCGTTGGAAAGCAACAGAGTTTAAGCAATTTATTTTATACACCGGTTTAATTGTTTTTTAAAGATTTTTTGCCTGAAGAAATGTATTACCACTTTTTACTGTTGCATGTTTTGTGTCCAAATAATTTCTTCTCTAACATTGAGACAGCAAGCGGCATGATAAAAATATAGTAAGGTAGAACCGCTGAGAGTCACTTTTAAAATTCTTGACGTTTCCAAACAATTTAAAGGTATTGGCCCAATGCAGGCTTGCTTTGCTTGCCTCGCTTTGAGAACTGTCAGAAGTTATTTGGAATATACTAAAACGTATGAAGGCTGGCCAAATGGCAGCTTTGCTTCACTTGCTTTAAGCGCCTCAAAGTTTCAAATAGGCAAATGTTTTATTTGAAAGCGTGACAAACAGGTATGTTCCCGTTCTAAATGAATTCAACGTGTTGCGTTCTTTTATGAACAAAAATTTGCTTACGTAATTAAAAAAAATATATATAATGTAAGTTATTCAAAGTTTAATAAAAGTGGTTATATGTTTCCATATTTATTTACATTTAACATATCGCTGACTGAAAAGTTGCTAAGTGCATTTTTACAAATTTTACACGAACTTTGAATACAAAATTTTGCGTGTTTAAAGCAAAGCCAAACTCCATATGAATCAAAAGGATTCGAACTTTATTAAAGGATTTCGTATTATTTTGGCCTTATCGGATTTTCGGGGCCTCTTCTGGACCTAGAAAATTTGCCTTCCATTGAATATAAATGAGAAAAAATAAAACAAGTACCTTAATCCTTAATTTCTTTTGCTTCCTAGGTTAGGTTAGGTTAAGGTGGCAGACCCGCAAAGGGGACTCACTTAGACATTTGATTGTCCATTGTGATACCACATTACATAGGAACGGTAACTGCGTAAAAATTACGAGAAGCGCTGGGTGCTCATAATGAAGTTCTTCAAACAACTGATATCCACTCCGGAGAGTCCCTCGGGAGTGTCGATGAAATGCGCACCGAGATGCTTAAACCGTAATCTAGCGAATGCCGGGCAGTTGAGTAGGAAGTGCTGAGATGATTCCACCTCGTCCTCCAGGCAACTGCGGCAGTAGGGATCCGTGACGATATTGAGTCACACCGCGTGGGTTCCCATTGGACAGTGTCCGGTCAGTACACCTGTGAAAATCGAGAGCTGACGCTTAGCCAGCTGCAGTAGTTCTCTTGACCGCCCGCGGTCCACAACCGGCCAGAAGGACCTTGCAACTCTGCAAGTCGGGGTTTTTTCCCAGCGCTCGCTGAGCCGACCGTGAGCCCATCTGTCCAAAAGCAGGCCGCAGGTTGCCAACGGAACTCCAATGCCCTCCCTGTCCGAGGTGATGGCCTCAAGGGTGCCTTGCCTGGCCAGTTCATCAGCCCTGCAATTTCCCGCGATATCACTGTGCCCCGGGACCCAAATCAGCTTGATCTGGAAGTACTCCGAGGCAGTTGAGAGAGGTCAGGCATTCCCCAACCAGTTTTGAACACACCATTAGCGATCCCAGCGCCCTGATTGCCGCTTGGCTATCAGTATATATATTTACCCTCCTTTTAGACAGTACATTGGTGCGTAGCCAATCGGCTGCCTCCTTTATAGCGGCCACCTCTGCCTGAAAGACGCTGCAGAGATCCGGCAGTCTGAAAGTAAGATCTACTGAGAGTTCCTGACAGTAGACACCTCCTCCAACTCTCCCTTCCAGCTTCGATCCGTCCGTAAAGATGTTTATTGGACCTCTTCTCCAGAAACTACCCCTCTTCCATTCATCCCTTGAGGGGATGTGCGTGGAGAAGGATCCTTTAGGGGCAAGCCTCGGGTGACTCCGGTCCATTTCTTTCGGCACGAAGTCGAAGCTTTCAAGAATTGTCGAGTGTCCGTGCGCTGGATTGAAAGAGAACCCAGACCCAACCCCTCCAATTCCTCCAGGACGTCGTTTATCACGACTATCCAGAGGAAGGGTGAAAGGACGCCTCCCTGCGGGGTGCCTCTGCTTACTTTACGCTGCTCAGAGGCGTTGCCCCATTCCGCTGTGACAGTTCTGTCGTGCAGCAAGAGTGAGATGAGCCTTACTAAGTAGCTCTCGACTCCGAGCTTAGTAAGGGCTCTTATTATCGCCCCAGGAAGGACATTATTGAAAGCCCCCTCGATATCAAGGAAGGTACCCACTACAAAATCTTTGTTTTTAAGAGACTCCTCTATGATTTTGACGATTGAGTGCAGGGCAGATTCCACGGATCTACCTTTCAGGTAGGCGTGTTGAGAGGGGCTAAAACGCTCTCGAGGAATCCTGTTTCTTATGTGCAGGTCAATCAGTCTCTCAAAAGTCTTCAATAAGAAAGATGAGAGACTGATTGGTCTGAAGTCCCTCGGGGATACATGAGAGTTCTTCCCTGCTTTGGGGATGAACGTGACCCTTACGCACCTCCAAGCCCCCGGGATGTACCCTCTTTCTAGGCAGCTCGCATAGATAGGGGTGAGCCAGCGACACGAGACCTCCACAGCCTTTTGCAGCTGCGCAGGAATGATGCCATCCGGTCCCGGGGACTTGAAGGGCTTGAAAGAGTCGATTGCCCAGAGCAGTCGGCGCCTCTCCAGTAGTTCACCGGAGGAGGAGGTAGAGCATTTGCCCTTTCCAACACCGATAGGTTCACGCGGTGCAGAATTTTCTGGGAAATGAGTATCAAGGAGTAGCTTAAGCGATTCCTCTCCACTCATCGCCCAGTTGCCCTCTTCGTCCCTCAGGTATCCCAAGGGTACGGGATTCCTCGCAAGGAATCGCCTAAATCGAGATGATTCATTACAACCTTCTACGGCTTCGCAGAAGTTTCCCCATGACTCGCTTTTGGCCTTTCTTATCTCGGACTTATAGATGCCCAGTCCGATCTTATAGAGTTCCCAGTCGGAGTGTTGTCCACTCTTCCTGGCTTTATTGAACAGGCGTCTACTCGTCGCCCTGAGTTCTGAGAGTTCCACCGTCCACCATTTTGGTCGTCCTTTGCCCCCCCGGCCTACTCAGCGGGCAAGAGATTTCGATGGCACTCCTACAAGCTGATGTAAACTTATCCACCATAACATCAATCGAGCCTTCGGTGCTTAAGCTCTCCTGGGGGGCTTCTGGGAGTAGTTCCCGAAGTTTTTTTACTATAGAGGTCCCAGTTTGTTCTCCTAAGGTTCCTAAAGGGGATACTTTTGGGACGATCTTCGTCCAGAAAAAAAACTGGATATACCTATGGTCCGAAAAGGAGTGATCATTAAGAACCCTCCAGTCGGAAACGCGGGATATTACAGAAGACGAGGCTAGGGTGAGGTCAAGGACCTCTTGCCTTGCCGCGGTGATAAAGGTCGGTTCGTTTCCTCTATTACAGATACATAAGTCTTCACTTAGAATATAATCAAAAAGTGACTCACCTCTTGCATTGATATCTGAGCTTCCCCAGCACGAGTGTCGTGAATTTGCATCCGACCCGATAATTATGTCGGCTTTCCGTCGCCTCGCTTCGGCTATGGCTTCACGCAGCAGTAATGGAGGTGGTTCCACCTCGTCATCATGAGCCATGTATGCGGATATGATCCAGAGCTTTCCGGCACCGCTATCCAGGCTGACAGTCACAATGTCCTCGTTGCTGAAATTAGGTAGAATTAGTGCTTTGAATTCGTTTCTGATGAGCATGCAGGATCTTGGTCTACCTGCTTGATTCTGCACCATCAGCTTGAAATTAGGCGTCCTGATCCCGGAGATACCGCTACTGCTTAGCCACGGCTCCTGGATCAGGACTACATCGGCTCCACCTTGCTCAAGGTGGATAAGGAGATTTGCGGACGCCGCCTTAGAATGTTGGAGGTTTATTTGCAGGATCTTCATCCTCCAAAGTCCGCTCCAGCCACGCCAGTTCGACGTCCTCGTTTACTGAGGCTAAGAGCCTCTCTTCCTCCGCCCTGTCGTAGAACCGTCCGATGCTGACGACGGATCCCTCCGTTGAGAGGGCATCCTCAGCACTTTCGGCCCCCGACATGACGGATTCTACCTCCATGCTCATGGGGGCTTCCTCCGCCGCGGGCTCACTAGTCTTGCTT